CGCACACACACACACACACACACACACACACACACACACACACACACACACACACACACACACACACACACACACACAACACAAATGAAGGGTTAGAGCATGTCAAACTTAAGGGTTTGTGATAGAAAACTGAATCCAACATAAAGTTTCTGCTATCAGTCATAAATGTCTTAACCCTTCCAGCCCAGGCATTATTGTGCACTCCCTCACCTCAGTCCCAGCCAATACAGCAGTAGTTCAGAAAAAGAAACATACATTCTAAAAAGTGATGTAGTATCTTTGTAATGAGGTTTAGATAATAACATATATAACAATGTTTAAAAGTAAATGAACAAATATTATAAAAATTGAAGTTTAATTAGGTTTGCTAATTTTGAAAAATGCGTAAATTCGGTACCCCGCGAAACTGAGAATATACGCTCTTGGGACGATGAGAGGTACATGCGTTGGTGAAAATATAAGCGCATTGGGCTGAAACGGTTAAGAGCTTGCAATTGAAAAATGAATCCAATATAAAGTTTTGACCATCAGTCATAAATGTCTTAAATTAAGGATAAAAATGCTCCATCAAATCTGTCTGAGCTTTTAACACCGTAAGTTCCATCTCGTCAGTTATGGTCATCCACTGAAGCAACAAAATTCAGAGGTACTATAGAAATAATCTTCATTACTAATTCTTCGGGATTAGAATTTTTAAAACTTTACAACCAATTTGTCAGCTGGCTCATACAGCCCAGATCACCTTCTCCCTCCCCATTGGACTGTCCCCGTGGTTTTATGCACCCCGCATAATTTAGCAAAATTTGATCATTCATTTTTTGCATAATTTCTGATTATTTTCCTTTATCATTCTTCGTTAAAATTACATTTTTGGGCTCAGTTTGCATAATTTCAGAATTTTTTTTGTATAAAACCGCGGGGACAGACAGGACCATATAGCGTGGAAGCCCATAGGAAACAAGTCACAAATTATAAAAAGAACAACTTTGAGAAGCGAAACAACAGGCCACTCATGCCTACCTTTCTCATCTCCTCCAACAGAAGAGTTGAAAGCCTTCAGGAGGTACGGGTCCTGGGAACGGCAAAAAACAGACATACAGGGTTATGTGCTGTGTGTGTGTGTGTGTGTGTGTGTGTGTGTGTGTGTGTGTGTGTGTGTGCTA